ACCTTAAATATAGTATTTAATAAAATTTAATTAAATTTAACATTAAATAAAATAGAACAATATATATCATACCTGTCGGGATTTTATACCTATCGGGATTTTGGACCTGTTGGGATTTTGACCTGCCAGAATTTTGAGTTTCGGGAATTGGGTCTGTCAGGAATTTGGGTTTCGGGATTTTAGACGGCACCCATTATCCTTCATGTAAACAATTATTAATTGGTCAACTTATTCTATAATTTTGCAATCTTTAACGTATATAGTTTGTATGTATCCTATGAAATTCATTTCTAGAATCGAACTGGTAAATCTTATAAATTAATTTATTATGATCTGCCTTAGCTAGAGGCTGAATTAGGATATATTGCAGTATAACCTACAAGGATCTCAGTTGTTACTAACTAAGATAGGGCTGCCAGTCCCTTAGTTAAAATTATTATTTTTTTTTTTGATGTGATACTACCAATAAGTTTTATAAAAGTAAGTATAAAAATAAAAATAAAAAACTAATTTAAAAGTACTAGCTATTCCTCATAGTTATATTACAAATCTATTTGAATTAACCTATCATTGTCTTTTCTCTCCAACAGACCTATTAGTAGATTATACCATATATATAGTATTATCTACTTGCATGATAATGATACCTACTTAGCATAGTATTATTTGTTTATATCAATAGTGATGCCTACTTAGTTATTTTCAGCACTCTATAACCTTTTATTATATTGTAGCTATTCATTTGATTTCATTGCTCTGTAATCTTTTTTTACCTTGTAGCTATCCACTTAATTTTATTGCTCTATACTCTTTTTATTACTATTTTGATATATATGTATTTGCATTGCCTTCCATCCTTTTTATTGTTAAGAAGTAATCCATTTGTTTACCTGTTTTTGAGTTGTTTTAGTAGCCTGCTAAAGTGTTGAGAATGCTTCTTTTTTGTGCCTATTTGGCTACCTTTCAAGGTGTTGAGGTAGTGTAAATAACAGCATCAGTAGTATCAAACTTACAATTCATATATTTTTCTCTTGATTGCTATTTCTTAATTATTGGATAAAACACAAAGTGCTGAACTTGTAATTCATATTTATTTTTCTCTTAATTACCAGAGATATACCATATTTGCAATCCTGCTATTTTTGACTATTTGATTGTCAGTTTAAGACACGAAGTGCCAAATTTGCAATCCTGTTATTTCTCTTAATTTTTATAAAGATAGTAAAACTTTCTGAAATAACGCATACATACCTAGATACTTATTAGTGATAGTGTAACCTTTTACCAATATTTTTGTGCATTTGCCTATCTAGATATCATATATACTCAAGTATATACTAGTATTGTAGATAGACTTCTGCTATTATTTATATAATAGATTACACAGAAGACAACTCTTTGATCTATGTTTTTTGTATCCAGGTATATACTAGTAATAGGGTAGTCTTCTTCTATCACAATATTTTATATATTAAAATACAGAGAAGGTTATTCTAAATGTCATATTATACTAGATACATACTAGTGATAGGATAGCCTTCTTCTGTCTCAATATACTATAAAAGATATGAAGAGGATTAGATGTTATATCATACTGGATACATACTAATGACAGGGTAGCCTAGAGGTTGGAACCGGTTTGGTATAAATTGATTTAAATTCGGTTTAAACTAGTTGCAACATAAAACCGGATCTATTTTTTTTAGATTCGAAAATGGGTTTTAATAAAATCAGTTTATTGCGAAAATTTGAATTTAATGAAACTGATTGAATCAGTTTATGCATTAAAATCAAACCCTGGAATATTATATTTATGTTTTGTTAACATTGATAATTATGCAACATTAGATATTATATAATTTCGATAATGATGGTACGGTAAGGTTTAAATTATTTTTAAATTATAAAAGAAAATTAATTATTTGGATGATCCAATTTTCGCGACTTTTTTTTTAATTTCTCCATTATTTCATGCAAATTTAAATTTTTAATTTTATTGTGTACTAACAATTTTCCTTCGAAGTTTTTGCATTTTTTTGTGAGATTTTTATGAAATTGCATTAATAAAATTAATCGCAATTCGGTTTTTCAGTTTTATTATAACCGAATACCCAGTTGAATCGGTTTTATTTTAAATTCGATTTAAATTCAGGTCTCAAATTAAAAAAGTGTTTAAACCAGTTTGTGAAAATAAAACCAGTTCCAATCTCTAGGGTAGCCTTTTGCTAATATTTATATAATAAATTACGCAGAAGGCTACTCTAAGTATCACCTATTAAGAATGTGTTTATTCACGATTTTTTTTTACCGATCTGCTATATATCTCTTCTGCATTTCTCTTTTTGGTATACCTCTATATTATGCAATGGCTATATTATATATCTAAAAAATATATACTTATCCTATTTTTATATAATATAATTATGGAGAAGTATATACTTTATATATATATTTAGTTACCTTCTTTTTTATATAATAGATTACACAGAAGATTACCCTAAGTATAATCTATTTGAAATGTTTTTATTCGTGATTTTTTGCCAATCTGCTATACATTTTTTTTTGTATCTATTGAAAAAATAAGTCTTCTGCTATTTTTATATAATATAATTATGCAGAAGACTTCCTTTGGATATATACTATTTTGTCTTTCAAAATACTGAAATAGTGTAAAAAAAGGTGACAGGTGAAAAATGTATTTATTTTAGTTAATGTCATATTATACCTGAGTACATATCTATGAAAAGTGTAATCTTCTGCCATTATTTATATAATAGATTACACAGAAAGCTACACTTTTAGGGTATACTATGTTGTATTTCTTTTACAGTTTGCCTACTAAGTTTGTCATTGCTTTTTTGTATCTGAATGCATCTAATGATAAGGTAACTTTTTGCCATTTTATATAATATAATTACGCAAAAGGTTATCTAATATACCTATACTCAGATATATACTAATGATAAAATAACCTTTTGCTAATATTTATATAATAGATTATGCAGAAGGCTACCCTTTCAGATACATATCTAGGTAAAGCCTTCTTCCATTTTTATAAAATATAATTACAGAGAAGGCTTCACTTTTAGATACATATCATAATAGCCTCTTTTATATTTTGCTAACTAAGTTTACTATAGCTTCTTTTTGCATTCATCAAAAAATATTTTAAACATTTTCGATTTATATAAAGTTATATAATTCTTTTCGAATTGATAACATATATATTCCAATTATTTCTAATCAAACTGATCATGGCCTAATGTTCAACCACTATAATAATGTTGAGTCTGATAAATATTTAAGTGACTCAAATAATTATACTAATAATGAATCTGACTTAGGGTCAAATGATTATAATAATTATAATTCTAATTATGTGTCAGATAATAAAGAAGCTTCTTACGTCTTAACCAGCATTACTATATTTTAATCAATTCAGCTACCAAATATAGATGAGCAAATTGCTAATATGATATATACTTTAAAGTAAGAAAAGTTTAATAATAATTTTTCTTTCAAGGACTGCTAAATGCCATTCAGAAAATTTTCTTATCACCATCTAGAGATATGTTAGATGATAAAGACTTATTGAAATATCTTCCAATCTATTCATTCCTCTTTCCAAATGTAAAAGGCTCTAGCTTATATAATGCTTATGACCAAAATAAAGTGAAAGATAAATTGGTTATTAAAATCAACCAAGATGATCAAACCCCAAAGTTTTCTGTTGCAAATAACATTTCAGAAGTATATGGTTTATCTGGGATTCGTGAATGTATTAATGGTCAAAAACCTTTAAGGGCTGTAATAAATATTGATGCTACACAGAAGGATATGAAAGCAAATAGAATTAAGCCTAATAGTGTATTCATTTATATCTATTGCTCTTTCATAAGAGCTTTGTATCATATCCTTGATTATAGCTGAAAAGATATTTTTAAAGGATTAGTAATTACTATATCATCAGATTCTAGCAAGTGTAGCTACCATATTTTATATATACTGGCTTTTCTTATTGATCATCACGAGCTCAAAGTATTCATTGAATTAGTATATATCACAACCAGTAAAAAATTTGGTAAATATATTGATAGAGGATTTTCAGATCAAAATTTAATCTTTATCTTATCAGTTCAGTAAAAAAAGTCATGTAAAATGTATCTTTTGATTTTTATTAGATAATTGGTAAAGACCCTGCTGGAATTGGAATCAAAAAATAATAATAAAAAAGAAGTTATAGCATTTGTCTCATATTAATTCCAATTTCGTGAAAAATTAGCAAAAGTTGAAATGGATTCTAAAATTATTAATATTTATGCCAAAGATTCAGATCTTATTCAAAGAACTAATAAAATTCAAAAAGAACGTCAAGAGATATGTGATTTTTTCAATGAAAACTAATACCTCTTTTATTGTTTCTTTATATATTTATTTGCTTATCTTTTGAAATTTCAAAGGTGTGAAAAAAGAATTTATTTTTTTGTTTGAAGTAAGATATAGCATATATAATATATCACGAAAATGGTAACTGATCAAAAACATTTATCTAATAGTACAGTTATCAAGCAGGAAGTTATCAGATATACAGAGAAAATAACCAAATTATTTAAACAAAATATAGATATATATCAGTGTTGGCAATTGGACTTATTGGATAATTGGACCAATTGGACATTGGACTTATTGGACTTGTACCATTTAGTTCAAATAAACAATTAGACAATTAGACTTGGTCCAATTCCAACTGAAATTATTAACCAATAAAAAATGATTTAGCAAATGACATCATAAATTTTATGCGACTTTATTAAAGTTCCAAAATTTACAAATTTATTAAATTTATTTATTAAGCTTTACCAATAATAAAATCTTCCAAGTAACCTGATAACTCTAAATTTTCTATAAAAATATTTTTTAATTCCCATTTTACTTGCGGATCAATAGCAGGATGTTTGTAACTGCTCAATATTATCAACAAAAATATCATATGTATTAGTAATGCTTACTAATTCATTATCTTGGTCTTGTGATTCATTTTTAATCATTTCTATCCAATCTATTACTGTTTTTCTCCATTCTTTAGCAGATGTTAATGGTTGTATATAAATATTATTTATACTTTCATTATCATTTTCACCCATTTTGCTATAAGTATCAGAACCTTCATTATCAGATAGAATAAAAATTTTTTCATCATTTTCTAATCTTGCAAATTCTATATTATCCGAAGTTCTTGTTATAGTTGTTTGATATTATTTTGCATAATAATCTAACTTGTAAAGCTGTTGTTGTCCTTGCATACTTGCACGAATCTGAGCTAAACTTAACACCTTTTCCGCCTAAAATATCAAAAGAAAAAACATTATATTCAATTTTGCAGAAGTTATAAAGAAAAATATGCTAATATATTGTACCTTTAATCAATTCCTTTGTTTTGAGTAATACCATCCCATTGTTGAAAACTATCGTTCTAATCAAGCTGTTCATACAGTAATTGAAAAAATTTGTTAGGCAACCCTATACAATTCTTTTGAATAACCTTTTGTAAAATTCCAATAATCTAAAATATTATTTTTAAATTGCTTAGAAATAGAATTAGTATAAGGATATTTTTTTGATTTATATTCTTCAAGTTCAGCTAGTAAAACTGTTGGCTCCTCTTTAAACCATACGCAATAATAATATAAAATCCATTTTGTTAGGTGAGAAAATGATAAATTTAATGTAGGATTAAATTTTGTATCACAATAAAATGGATGTAGCAAAAATGATAGTAACAAAAGAGGCTGTTCCCAATCTCTATATCGTCGCTCAATTTTGAAAGAAGAGTAGTAGCTAATTATTAATCGTCAAATATTTTAAGTGTCATAACTACATTACCAAATCCGTGAAGAACTTCATATAATCGTGAATTTTGTCGTTGAAGTTTATTAAGTATTGCACAATATGAAATTAAAAAGGTTTCAATTTTTTTAATGGAAATCTACTAATTATTATCTAAAATGCATTGTAAATGTTTTTCAGTAAAATCATAACCATCAGAAATAATTTTTCGTCTATTTTCGTTGCAAGATTCTAAAAAAAAATAAAATTGTTTAATTAAAAATAAACATCAACCCAAAATTTTATTGCGTTATACATACACATAAAGCCCCTTTTATTTTTAATAAACTAGCAAAACAGTAATAGTATGAGTTCCATCGAGTAGTAGCTGGGGTTACTAGTGTAATATGAATTTTGTAAATAGCTGCTTGCTCATTTTAAAGTTATCCAAGCCATACTTTTAACTGACTGAAAAAAGTAATTAAACTAATAGCTTCTTCAGTAGCATCACTTAGACGTGATGACTCTTTAAATATATCTCTAATATATAAATTCATCTAGTATGCGAAGCATGGCAAAAATATCTTGTCCCGATATTAGAGACGCAATCGTTTTCTAAATCAATTAAATTAATAAATAATTTTATAAACTTAAAATTAAAGATAATTTATTATTGATTACCTTGCAGCAGCATTTTCTGAAGCTGTGTTTGTAATTAATCCATTAATTTTAATATTATTTTTTTCAAGCTTAACAAATGATTTTTTCGTTTCATAATTATATTGCATTCTGAAGTAAATAAAATGAACCCTAATAAATTTTGACAAGAAACATTTTTCCAACCATCAAAAGCTAACATAATTCCAAGATCATCATTAATAGCATCATTAAGAATAATATCTGTAAGGTTATTGGATGTTTTTTTAAGAATTCTGCCACTAAGCTGCTTATGATCTGGTAACTCTAACATTGGATTAAGCCATTTAAAAAGCTCTTTAACTGCTGGATTATTAATCCAACGAAAAGCAAAACCACAAGCAACGGTAATATTTAATACTAAACGTTCAAATGTTTCTATTTGTTCTGGCTTCAATTCGTCATACATATAGTTATCAAGGAGACCAAAGCTTCGAAATGAAATATCTGACATGCTACTTATGCTATTTGCACATGATGATTTAAAAAAAATTGTTCAAATTAGAAGTACCTTAGAAAGGTATTGGTGTGCTTGATAGCGGTGTTAATACCTCAATTTCACCCTCATTATCTATTGATAATCATTGTCATTTAATTGGTTTTTTTGAATTATACTCCATAGCTTTCTGAATTATAGCTTGAGTTTCTTCCGAAGAGTATCTTTCAATCCAATAAGAATAATTTTCAATATGCTTTACACAAGCACGTTTTGTATTTGTAAACCTCTGTTTCATCGCTTTCTCTCGACCCAAACCCCTAATACAATCTTGACAAACCGCATAATTATTATATTTATTGGATTTTTCTTCTAACAATAAAAAATATCCACTAAGTTTATGTTTTTCGCGGGTCATTTTTATTATCGCAAATTAAAAAAGTTTATCGAAAATTGGTTTAATGATTTATTATCATGTGTTACAAAAATTTGATTGGACAATGAATTGGACTAAGTCCAATTGCCTAATTGGACGAATTGGTTATAGTCCAAATCCAACAGGCATATATTGGACCAATTGGACAATTGGACGCAATTGGTCTATATTCAATTGTCTAATTGTCCAAATTGTCCAATTAAGTCAATTGGAATGAGTCCAATGCCAACACTGATATGAATAGTATGCTTCCTGATGAAAATAAAGTCAATTGAAAGATTATCATTTCTAATACAATACTTTAGAAAGAAGGGTAAAAAGATTGAAAAAAGATGTGGGATTCTTAAAAATTGAATTAGGAGATCTAAATGAATGTGTAATTAGGCAAACTGTGATAAACTTAATACAAAAAATAATTCACTTGCCAAATAACAAAAAATGTAAGGGTTTCTTCTATTTGTCTGTAATTGATACAGATGCTAGTATAAATCACATTAGTAAAAAATTTTAAAGGAAAATAAGGATCTCTCCTGTTTGTCTGAGACTTCTGAAGATTCTAATTCAGTTAAGATAATTTATATAAGTAGTGTTCCACATGGATCAGATCAGATCAGATTTGGGCAAAATCTGATTCAATCTGAATCTGAAAAATCTGAATCTGATTCGATCTAAATTTGACAAATCTGAATTCGATTCGATTTGAATCTAATAAATCTAAATCTGAATCTGTATCTGAATCTGATAAATCTGAATCCAAATCCGTATCCAAATCTGTATCTGTATCTGACAAATCAAAAATTTTTTAACAAAAATCAGCCTCTGCCATTCAGAATGGCGTTTTAATGTTAAAAATAACAAAATTGTTGTTTTTTTAACAAAAATCCGCCTCTGACATTCAGAATGGCATTTTATTGTTAAAAAACAACAATTTTGTTGTTTTTTTAACAAAAAAATCTGCCTGACGTTCAGATCAGCATTTTGTTATTAAAAATTAATTTTTATTAATAAATGCTGCGTCCATCTTTCAGGGCGGTATTTTAATATAAAAAATTAATAAAAATTAATTTTTTTAATAATAAATGCTTTGTCTGACTTTCGGGGTAGTATTTAAATATTAAAAATTATTAAAAATGAAATTTTTTAATAATAAATGCCGCATTCGACTTCAGGACAGCATTTTAATATTAATAATAAATACTGCGTTTAACTTTTGGAGCGTAATTTTAATATAAAAAATTAATAAATTAATTTTTTTATGCTGCATCTGACTTTAAGGCAGAATTTTATTATCAAAAATTAATTTTTTTAATAATAAATACCACCTCTGACTTTTGGAATGGCATTTTGTTATTAAAAATTAATAAAAAATTATTAAAAATTAATTTTTTATTAATAAATGCCGCATCTGACTTTTGGGTGGCATTTTATTATTAAACATTAATTTTTTTTAATAATAAATGCTGCCTCTGACTTTTGAGATGGCATTATATTATTAAAAATTAATAAAAATTAATTTTTTAATAATAAATGTCACGT